CTTTTTCGGTTATCCTTTTAGTCCTCTACTCAAACGCCTTTTAGTCCTATTCATTCTTATATTGGTTCTTAAATCCTTCATACCTTAAAATCGGCCTTGGTTTTGCTTGTCCTGTAGTATTTTAGCTTTTGATAAATTAAGAATTTACAGTCTGACCTGTTACTCTATTTCCCACGATGTCCGCTGCGTATCAGCGCTGTCTTGCCACAGATTTTTTTGATCGGAAACACTTTTGGAAGTCTCTAGCACTGGTACTATTCTTAAGGCCATGAGGAACACTTCTTGTCCAATAAATATACTATTTATCATGGCCATAATGATGCTCTATGTGTTACTGATAAATATAAATGGTAGAGCACATTCATTTCAGAGATGCTTCCGAAAAGACTTTCAATCTTTCTACTGTTTGCTTCACTAACTATTGCAAAGAAGCGACATGTCTCTGATTTTGAGTTCTTCACGTTTGCTCAGATGTTCCCTGCTGCTGTTTGCCAGGTCGACAATATGGATGATCCGGCAACATGCAAGATTCCGACCGGAGCTTCACCTTGGACTGTCCATGGATTGTGGTAAGAAATTTTCTCATCATTTTTGCTTAAACGAGGATTTTTTTTTGTAAGTTCTTTGACCTGTTTTTAATATTCGAACGGTGAAATCACAGTCCGTGAATGATATCACGCAGAAAGAACTTTGTTTTACTTTGTTGTGAAGCTTTCGCTGACCGCCTGACAAACACAATATAAAGTAAAAGAATAAAATCTGGATTTTATAAATCAACTTATTTTAAAACCTCAAGTTATCCCGAACTTTAATATAATATAATATCGAAAGATTATGTTAGAATCCGCCAAACGGCGATGGCTCTACGAATATTAAAATCGATTGCCTTTAAGAGCTGCGGTTATTTGTTTGATTGACTAATAGACAAAGCAATGTATTGAGATGAAAATTAATTGAACCGTTGTCTGCTTAATGGCTGTTTCATTATCAAGCATAAACGATTACTGTAAATTCTGTCTTATCACATTTCTTCATCGTCGTGATAGTTAAGAAGCATGCTTGGAATTTTTGACAACACATTTGGCTATTTTTCCAG